GGAAACCAGGCTTTACTGGTTGTGGAAACTTGCTCACATGGAAGTGGGTCTTCGCTACTCTTCTTTGTATCTTTAACAGGTGCAGGAAAAACCTACACAATGCTGGGGACGGACTGTGAACCGGGGATTTACATCCGCACTTTTGATGACCTCTTTAAGGCCCTTGAAGCCACTGCCGAGGAGATGGATTACAGAGTCTCCATGTCCTACCTGGAGGTGAAGTGTTTGCGTTGCCTTGGATCCAGGCTCTGCGGGAGCTCAGCAAGCCGCTGGGAGCAGGTGTAATGGGAATTGGGGTGTCCAAGCCCGTCCATCGCGCGGCACTCCCCTTGGGTTGCACAGTTTGAATCTTCCCTTCTGCCTTTCCACCCCAAAGTAGTACAGGATCAACTCAACTCTCTTTGCAGATCTAAGGCTCTGATGGTAGTCTTGTTTCTTACCCTCAGATCTATAACGAAGTGATCCATGACCTCCTGAACCCATCCTCGGGGTTCTTAGACCTGAGGGAGGACCCCAGAGGCAACATCCAGATAGCAGGAATCACGGAAGTCTCCACTACAAATGCTCAGGAGGTACCTTGGGCTACGGATCACAGCGAAGGGAAAGGGAAGGGGTTTGTGCTTTCATACATCAGGGCTTTAAAATTTCCTGACACTTTCCTATTGCCTGTGCCTTAATAGCAGGGACCTTTTGTAGCAGGACCTTCCTGGACCTGGATTAATGGGATGAATTGTATGGAAAGGGCTGGTCATGGAGCTGTGTGACTGGTAGAAACCAGGATAGAACCCCCAGCTGACCTCTGCTAGCTCTGCTTCCCCAGGGTTCACGCTGCTTTTCTGGAAAGAAAAGAGTGCTTTCATTTGTGTCAACAAACCAGTTGGAGAGGGAGAAGAAATAACAAAACCCCCTTGAGCTACACTGATGGGCACTTCTCCATGTGCCTTGAACATGAGATAAACACACCTCCCAGGAAAGCAGCCCCAAACCCAACAAACACCCACTTCCAAGGTCACAAGCCAAAGGGGGAGATCTGGGGAAAATCAACAGCAAAACCGCTGCTTGCATGAGCGGGACCAGAGTTTGCCTGTGCCCTGGGTGAGGGGGTTGGTCTGCGGGCAACACTGCGCTATGGCTGGGGCAGAGCTGTACATCTCTCCGTGCTTTTCTGCACCATTTTAGATCATGGAGCTGTTAATGAAAGGAAACAAGCACCGCACCCAGGAACCCACCGCAGCCAACAAGATGTCCTCCCGCTCACACGTGGTGCTGCAGGTGACAGTGATGCAGACCAAAGGAAGGGAACCGGCGAGGAAGTACGAATTGGAAAGCTTTTCATGGTTGACTTGGCGGGGTCAGAGAGAGCAGCCCAGGTATGGCTGGAGCTTGGCAGCTTCTGGTGAGACCAGGATGATTCCCTGGCCCGCTGTGCAGGGTCTGTCCTCATCCCTGGGGAAACCAGCACTGGGTGTTCCCCTGCTGCTTTAGAGCAGGAATTTGTACTTGAGGCAGTCAGAAAATAAAAACAAAGTTTGATCATATAGGTAATACCTTTTACTAGGCCAACTAGTATAATTGGAAGAATGTAAACCAGCTTTTGGGTGCAGCCTGTTCTCAGGTCTGAGAAAGCAGCAGTGAATTTCACATCTGAAGAGAAGCTGAGGTCTGTTAGGCAGGGATCAGCTGGGCTGTCGGAGAGAAAGCTGGTACCAGTGCGATAGAGGGATGCTAGTGGGTGGAAAATAAGGCAGCTGGCTCCTATGGGAAGGAGGAAACGCCGGAACTCGGGGAGGTGATTTGAAAGAGAGAGATTTTACATACCCAGTATTTCTGCTGAGACAAGGAATTCTGGAGTGGTGTCGTTATGCATCTTAACTTCTGAAATAATCTTTAGAAGATCATTAATAGCTGTCTCGTAAGAACCAAGGGCAGATCTGAGTCATCTTTTCCAAAAAATGTGCTCCTACATGTATCTCTGTGCCTCAGAGTGGGATTTAATCCCACACTTTCAGGGTGATTTTGCAGAAGGCATTGCCTTGACATCCAAACTTTGACCCCTGTCATGCTGCACAACTTCCCCAGGTGAAACCCCACCATTCTGAAGGGTGTGCTTTGTCTGTCTGTCCCCACTCCCCCCTCTGCCCTCCCAACAGACTCGGAACCGCGGCAAGCGGATGAAGGAAGGAGCCCACATCAACCGCTCACTGCTGGCTTTGGCCAACTGCATCAACGCTTTGAGCAAGAAGCAGGGGAGCCGGGCCCAGTTTGTCAATTTTCGAGACAGCAAACTCACGCGCCTGCTGAAGGTATCGTACACCGTGGGTCGGCAAGGAGCTTGGCGTATCTGCTGCTGGTATCGCTGCCCAAACCTGACAGTGCTTGAGAGGTGATCCGTGAATATCTCTGAGCATTGCCTTTATCCAGCCTGGAATGCTCCTCCAGGATCTTCCACGGACTTTGCAAAGCAACCAGGGCTCGACTGGGATGGTGCTGTCTCTCTGACAAGCATGTCATCTTGTGATCGGTGCAGTTAAGGAAGGACCTCCTATAGGATTAAAGAAATCCTATGGATTTGGGTCATATATCTCTAAGCTTGCAGGTTATTTTTAAATAAACTCAGTGTCTTTTAATGTTTCATCCCGTCTATAAGATTCAGCTGAAATTGGCCAATAAATTTGGATGTTTGTGGGGCAGGAGGGAGACTGCACGTGACTATGTGCTGTTGTAAGTCACTGCACCCTTAGGAAACCAGAAAGGTGGCAGACAGTCTCTCTGCTATGCTCTTTGGTTTATAGATACTTTACAACTTCATTTATGAACCTCACCTCGAGCCTTGGTGCCGAGCTACCACTGTCGCTGCCTGACAGATATGTCTTCTAGAGGATGGTGGGGAGGAGAAAGGCCGGCTTCTGTTGTGAGCAGCACTGAGAAGCTGCCAGCGTATTTGTGGAAATTGTGATTTTCTTGCAAAAATTCTTCCTTTGTAGAAAGGTAATTACTTATTGATTTTGCTGTTGATGGAGAGTAGGCCTAATGAATGGTGTTTTACCATCACTTCCTTCCCTCCTAATTGGGATTCTTCACCAGAATCTTAATGAACCTCAGGGGTACCCAGCCAGGGTGGGTACCACCAAGCAGCAACCCCGTCTTGTCCATACTAACCACAGCAACGTCTCATCCCTCTAGGACTCATTAGGGGGCAACAGCAGGACTGTTATGATTGCACACATCAGCCCGGCCAGTACCTCCTTTGAAGAATCTCGAATGACCTTGATCTATGCCTATCGAGCAAAAAACATCAAGACACAGGTAAATGAGCAAACAGCTCGCAAAGGAGCAGGGGTTAGAGATTGAAAGGTTGGAAAGTGGAAACAAAAGATGTAGTGGATGAAGGGAGAACAAACTTCAGGAGAGGGCAGTGCAGGATAGCATAGAAGCTTGGTGTCAGTGATGGAAGAGAAGAAAAGCAGATGAAGGGAACGATGGAAAGAAAATTGTGTGGGTTGTGGTTGAGAAGAGCAATATGAGGATCAAAGCAAGGGAGCAGAATAATGGAAAGGCAGCGGATGATGTACCTGGTAAGGACCTGGGTGCAGAACATAAGGAATGATGGGTGGAAGATGGGTATTGGAAGGACAATGTATGGGGAATATCCTAGTGGGGATGCTGGGCCTGGAAAAGGAGCTGAGGGACTGCAGAAAGGAGGAATAAAATGGAAAGGCTTGTGGGGTGAAGAAAGATGAACAGTGATCTACAACAGGGATGGTCCTTGACTTTTCTCTGACACTTTTTGGGAATTTCTCTGAATTAGGGAAAACAACTAATCTCCAGTCTCCCCACTCATGACAATGAATTAGTCCCCACCACAGGATTCAGGGCCCCTCCAAACGGAAGCATAGCTTTGTTTGCAGCCATTGTACCAATAACAGGCTCTGGGACAAATGCTCGCATATTCTGGCTCACCAGGTAAAATGTAACCTGCAGAACACCTCCAACCACATCGACCAATATACCAACATCATCGCAGACCTCCACAGGGAGATCGAGCTTCTGAAGGCAAGGGTTGAAAACCAGAAGGAGAAAAGTGCCATCAGCTCCAACATCAGGGATCTGCAAGGTAGAGCCAGGAGCAAGAGCTGTTCTGGGGTGTCTGCAGGGAAGGGAGCTGGGAGAGGATCTGTGTGGGCATGTTCTGGTAGCGCTTGGTGGGGCTCCATGGAGATGTAGCTGGGAGAAGACTGTTCAGCAACGCTTGTAGAGAGGCAGAGTGGAGAACTGAGTCTGATGGGCAGAGGAGGCAGGTAGAATCACAGAATCATAGAATCACAGAATGGTTTGGGTTGGAAGGGACCTTAAAGCCCATTCCCATCCCACCCCCTCCCATGGGCAGGGACACCTCCCACTAGCCCAGGTTGCTCAAAGCCTCATCCAGCCTGGCCTTGAACCCCTCCAGGGATGGGGCATCCACAGCTTCTCTGGGCAACCTGGGCCACTGCCTCACCACCCTCATGGGAAAACACTTCTTCCTAATATCTCATCTAAATCTCCCCTCTTTCAGCTTAAAACTGTTACCCCTCATCGTATTGCTGCACCCCCTGATCAAGAGTCCCTCCCCATCTCTCCTGCAGCCCCCTTTAAGCTCTGGAAGGGAGCCTGTCTCTGATGTGCTGTGTGATGCTGGACAACACATTCAACCTCTCAGCATCTTCCCCAAAATTAAAATTTGTTAAATTTCACAAATTTGCCCCAGCTTTGGCATCAAGTGGTGGCATTTGCTGTGTTTACAGCAAGGTGACCGAGTTTGTGCCTGCGTCACCGCAGGCTCTGAGGCTGTTTCAGGACACAGCGCTCTGGTGTATGGTTCATTGCACTTAATTAAAAAAATAAAATAGGGAGGGGGGCAGGGCGAAGGTTTTAAAACATTGATTGTTCTGCCCTGGGGATTGTTCTTTTTGTCAGTGAATCTGGCAAGGAATGAAATAAAAATAGTCAAGTTCTCTGACAGACAAGACACGAGGTACAATAGACCTCTGCCACCAATACCCAAGGTCATTTCTAGATACCAAGCACAGAAAAATGCTTTTTCTTTGGTGGAAATGTGGAAGAGATGTCCCTGCAATGCGGTACTGCAAAAGCAGTAGCAATAAGATCTATTTATTGCTAGTAATACAGTCATAAGGATATATTGGATTTATTAAGCACATTATTAACTTCAAGAGACTGCAGAATGAAGCAGAGTCCTATAAATGAATGGCTTGTAACACATGGACTGAGTGGCTTGGTCCCAGAGTAGCTTTGGCAGAAGTTTACCTGGTCTAACATCAGATCAGAAATGTCTCCTGCAGCAGAGAGGCCCCAAGGCTCTGAGGCACAGACTGGCCAAGCCATGAACGCCTTGCGGGTGCAGCTGATGGGGGCTTTCAGGGAGCAAATGGAGATGCACCGCAGCCTGATGGAGCTGGAAAACACCAACATTGAGCTGCACATTGATACCTGCAGGCACCTCCTAACAATCACAGAGTGAGTAGCTCCCTTGCTTTCCGCATGATGTGTACATGGACCTCCAAACTCACCATGAGAAATGCCAATATCCCACGGTCCCCCAACAAAAATGACAAAAGGATGACATCAAGTGTAGGTTTGAGTTTTACCTATATGATGACAAAAACTTGGGAAGGTGGTGCTCTGGAAAATGTACCCAAGGATTTAAGGTAGATTAAGTCCATGCAACTCTGAGCCTTAGATGAAGGTGCTATATTTGCAACCGGGGATTTCTGCTATTGAGAAACTCGTGCTTAATCCCTCCTGGTGCTTGTAAGGAGACTGCAGCCTGCACATGGTGCTGCACTGCAGTGCAATTGCCTGGTGTGGCTCCCTAAGGCAACCAGCTACCTCTGTCATAAAGTTTAAGCTCAAGTCTAAAAGTGTATAAATGGTAGATAACTCACTTCTATTTGGACCTTATTCTGGACTTGTGCTTTAATGGAAAAATGGGATGGCAGTGCAGACTGGGATTGTTGGTCCTTCCACGTTCCAGTCACCCTGTCTTTGTGAAGTGTTTTCCATCCAGACGCATTGCATCTGGGCATCATTTCATGTCATAGAAAGCAGCATCATCCCTTTCTTCTGGATAAACTCGAAGTAGGTGCCAGTTCCCTCTCATTATCACTAGTCATCCACTTAATGCCTCTGTAAATTTTATAGTCCCTTAGCATTTGGATCATTTGTAGTTAAAATAGTCTTCAGGACATTAAAGATATTCAACAAGTACCTGTGAATAGGCAACAACTTGTGATGAGGTGGGGAAAAGCACTGTTCTTGCCATGGGAAGATCACATAGGCAGCCTGTTTTATAGACTTCCAAGCAGGAGGAAGCTAATTGTGCTCTTCTGCATGGTTTGCCTAGCTCCAGAGCAGCCTGGACTAATTAGTTCTGCTGCTGTCATGCACGAAGTTGGACAGATACAATGAAGGGCTCTGCATGCATTGTTAGAGTCATGTCACCATGTCCCAGAAGTTCCTTTCTTTTTTTTGCTGGCAGCTGGGAACGAGAGAAGGCTCAGGGTGCACGCAAGTACAACAAGCCAGCAAAGGAGGAGAAAGATGAAAACACAGAGGAGGAAGATGGGGAAGTGGATATCATAGATTCACCTGAACCTCATGAAGTTACAGTGGCAAGAGAGGAGATCAACCTGCTGCTGGCGGAACAGCGCGAGATGGTGGCCCTGAAGGTGAGGGGGTGAAGGTGCCCCTATGGTCACAGCTCTGGCCTCTGCCCAGAGGGTGGTCAGGATGAGGGAAAAATCACCCAATGGGTTTGCCCACCCGTAAGTGAGTTAATTCTTCCCATTTCCCCTTTCAGGGACATTTTGAGGGTTTGTCACTCAGTGGTTGTTCAATATTTTGGTAATCACTTTTGGTGATTATTTTTCTGATAGAAAACATTAATGTTTGTGAGTTCCTCTAGGCAAGGACTGTGCACCTGGATAGATCTGCTGTGACTGAAACCTGGTGACTGCTAGCAGAAAAAGCAAAATAATTTCTGTAGATGTTACTTTAATCTCAGTGTGAAGGACACAACAGAGATTTGCTCAGATGCCTTTGTTATCCCAAGAAGCCAAACTGCCTTGCCAAGCCCCTATCTATCTTTTTCAGACTGAGCTGGAGCAGCGCTTAGCAAAAGCCAAGGAAAAAGCTTCCCAGATGGAGGAGTTGTTCCCCAGACAAATCACCAGCAAGGAGGAGCAGGAGGTGCTACGGCTGCTCTGCAGAGCCCATGAGCTTGAGCTTGGCAACACAGAGCTGCAGGCAAACACACTGTATAAGGAGAATCTCTTGTGCCAGAAGGATTTTGTGATCCAGCAACTGCAGCAGCACATGCTGCTCTGTGAAGACATTATTCAGCAGCAGCAGACGCTGATAAAAGGTAAAGCAGCACCTTTGTTCCTGCTCTGTCATTCTCTCTGAGCTTTCTTTTCTGATGGCAAAGTGCAGAACAATCCACCCAGAAAACCTTGTCTTGATGTTGTGACTCCACAGTTCTCAGCTGTTTCTCCAGGAATGATCTTTAACTCTTCCTCCCCATCTCTGCTCCAGCCCAGAACATTCCTGTCCCGGAGATACTGGCGAGGTTACACCACCTGCACCTCTCTGAGCTGGAGGAGGGGACCCTGAACTGCCTGCTTCTGCTGCATTCAGTGATGTCCAGCATGCTCCGGGTAAGGCAGAGCAGACCCTCATGCTCGAGAACCCACGCTGTCCGATGGTCTTGTGTTATGGCCATTGATTCACACACACCAAAGCCTGGCTGGGTCCTGGTGCCAGTCGAGAGCTGTGCAGAGCTTTGCTTCATGCACACGTTGTCTCTGGAGGTCCTCTCTCCCTCCCTCCTTCCCTTAGACTCAGAGAATTAATATGGCTTTTAGTGCCAGAAAAGGACCCAGGCAGGGCTGTGCATGGGCCAGCGTGTTCATCCTCCCAGTTGCTGTTGTGTTGGATTTGAGAGGGATGACTGTGGCTTGGTGGCAAGCAGAAAAGCAAAGGTGAGATGGCCAAACTTACAACTTTACAAACAACTGCTGAAGGAGACCATCCTCTCTGGAGGCCTCTGCTTGCTGATGGTACAGTTGTTCTTGCACGAAAGACCCAAGGACCTCAAGAAGGGAAAGATGGTCCCTCTGTCTTTGGAAAATCTGTGTGCGTTTTGAAACAGCAAGGGGCTGCCAGGAAATTGCCAGAGTCTTCAGCAGGGAGTCCCACCAGCAGAGTCTCCTGTTTATTATGATTGCCTAGAATGAATGGGACGAGAAGTTGGGTTTCACCTTGAATAATAAACTTCCTCCTAGTCACGTTGTTATACAAGAAATTAAACTACTCTGGCTGCCCTTCCACAGGACGGGGGCAAATAGCAGGTGGCTGGAACTATGGAAGAGCACATGAGGTATCAAGAGTGTTTTTGTGCCAGCAGGATGAGAGCCTGGGATAGAGGAGAGGCTTTACAATGATAAAAGTCTGCTGAGGATCTCATTCTTCCCTCTTCCTGCAGCCCCACAAGAGCCCTTCTCTGGATGTAAGTCAGTGTCTGGATCCTAATAAAGACGAGATCAGAAAGGGTCAGCCTGGGAACACGAAGGATCTTCCCTGGGGGGTGAAGTTGGACATTCCCTCCATCACCCTCGAGTCAGACAGGTAATGTCAATCTTTCTCATTATTAGACTTATTCTCTAAGTCATGGGGACCTGGCAGCTCCTAGCTGAGTCCCCAAAGCCAGGTGACATCAAACTGGAAAAACCTCTAGAAACTGGAATCTGTTAGAGAAGAGTTTCCTGGTATACTGCTCTTGCAGCGTAGCTCTGTTTTAGCAGGAACCTTCTTTGCAGAGAGGGCTGTGGGAGATGTTTGGATTTGCTTCTGTTGACCGGCAAGGATTTAAACCAAGGAGCAAAGGTTGTGAGGGTCAGGGGACAAAATCTCTCTCCTTCCTGAATCTTGGAGTCCTTCCTTCCTGCATTATTACCACATTTACTTGGCTTCTGGCTTTCCCTGCAGCTGGAGAGCTTTCATCCAGACATCTGTCATCTCTCCCTGTTGATAGAGGCCTGTGCTTTCATCTGTTAACCTGTTCTTTTCACAGTGTCAGTTGCAGATCATCTAAAATGACACCCTGTAGGAAGGAGGGGTCTCTGGATACACACCTCAGCCCAACTTCCTCTGTTTTGCCGAAAAGCCCAGTTCA